TAATAATAATAATAATAATAATAATAATAATAATAATAATAATAATAATAATAATAATAATATATGAAATACTCTAAATGCTCTGATGGTCATTTTTTAGTGAGCACCTAGAAGGTAACTCTCAGCTGACTCTGGTCTCCTGATTCCCTGCCTGGAAAAAGCAGCCAAGATTCACAGTTTGGAGTAATCTTCACTTTATTCCAGTAACCGGGATACATGCAACAGCGAGTATGGATACATCCAAGCAAAGCCAGCGCTGAGAGCTACTGCCTCTCGGTGCTTTAAATATCCTAGCTCCATCCGTCCAATTCACCCGAGCCGCCTAACATCCGCTCTATCTACACTAGCATCTGGTCCCCTTCATCCCCTACAGATTCTCACCTACCTCTTCCTTCCCCCGCAACTCTTCCTTACTACCCAGTGAGTGTGCTCTGCCCCCAGTGTATCCTCTGAGTGCCCATCACCATGTCTGCCGTGCCCCTCTCTGGTTTTTAGCTTCCGTTCGTTGCCTTCCCTATCTTCTCGCCAAGAACATACATGCTAAATTTCAAGTTTGTAGGCGTTACAATTCTGGGGATTTTGTGATGATGCATGAGTGGTATTTCGCTTTTATATATGTAGAGATAAAGGCGGGATACCGATAAATACATCTTGTTTTATCTCCTGGGTATTGGAAGATGGCTTTTGTGCACTTTCATGCAGTTAGTCATTTCAAGTCAAGTAAGGTGTTCACATGTCTCGCTTCCATTACATCTAGGTGGCTTAATTGTTGTAGGATAGCATAATGCAATCATGAAAGTCTCTCAGAGCTTCTATCTATCCCATCTTATCTATCAAATAAAATTGGTGGGATTATTTGGAGTTACTATTTAATGCATTCTACTTTCTCAGGACTATATTGCCATTTTCTTCCTTTTAATATGACTTCCAGAAGTCTTCTACGATGTGCATGATCAGGGAAGCAGAAATCCTGCCTTCCAAGTCTTAGGTGGTGATATTCGTGTTTCCAGGCAGAGTTGGATGGTGAACAATGAGTCATTAGGTGCCAGCACTATGAGGGGAAGGGAACATCAACACCATTCCATCCTCCTCTTTTGTATGCAGGACAGTTGCATTCAATGAGAAAGAGAAAAACGGACAGAGGAGGAGACTTGTAACTCAGGATTGAAATGAGGGGTCCTTGGTGCTCTCTGAGCTTGGTTGTTTTCTTGTAGATGTTTCATTACCTAAATTAGGCTAACCTAATCATTGGAATTAAACATCTGCAAGAAAACAACCCAAGCTCAGAGAGGACCCTTCAGGAAAGCTATAGCTAACTTCTGTGAGACCTTTTCCAAAGCTTTTCAGATGACGCCAGAATGCTGTTAGGTTCTCTACAGAACTATCTATTGGGTTGAGCACTGAGGCTAAGAGCAAAGACTCTGAGACCTAGCATTTTATCAAAACAGGGCAAAGCTGTGCTCCATCTCCAGGTGTGAGAAACACAAAGTGGCAAGAGATCCATTTGCATTTAAGCCAAGAGAAAGAAACACAAGCTTTGAACTTCTTGGGGTTATGAGTTGGAGAGTTTGATTGCAGGATCCACTCTGGGCCCGTCACCCAGACCAGAGGTTTTGTCTGTCAAGCTTTTGGACTCGTTCTGAAGCCCATCTTGAGTGTGTCAGAGAGAGAAGTACCTTGAAGATGGGCTCCAGCATGACTCTAAAAGCTCGGAAGACGAAAGGTCCCCATAACCGACCCAGAATGGATCCTGCAACATTGTCCTGGGACACACATATATTTGCCTTCATTCATGAGAGCGCTTGATTGCTTGTTTCTACAAGTAGTTTACCTTGACTAGGGCTTCTTTGAGCTTTAACTTTTATTTATCCTCTTGAAAATAAACAAAATTATAAATTAATATTGATGATGAAAACCCAAGTTCTGGTAGCCTCTTGTTAACCTTTGTTATTTACTCCACTTGCAGCTGTCTGTGAAAATGGATGTCTTAATGGAGGAAGATGTGTGGCCCCAAACAGATGTGCTTGCACATATGGCTTCACGGGACCTCAGTGTGAAAGAGGTAGGTGGGATTTCCATTTTCCAATTAAAACAGTGGAAAACTCTAAACTGTCTTGGGGCATAGAAAGTCATTTAAAACTAAGATGAAGTGCAAGTGCGCTAAAATGTTTGATTTCTTTTTTTAAATCATTGAAGTTCACTGGTGGGGATTAGGCTTAATAAGTTTTTAGAAGACTGCATGTGTAGTGGAACATAGTTTGGATTCTCAGAAGGGAGGGGCTGCCTTCCAGAGGACCAAGAGACAGTGAAGCGTAGATAGTTGGGTTAGACGGAAAGAGAGTCAAGATAGCTCCTCCTTAAAACTTCTCAGAATATATCTTGAATGAAGCAACTGCTCGATTTAGTTTGGCAAGATTTCTGTACCTACAGTAGGTGTGGTGTTTTGAAGTGATTCAGTGTAATCTGTCATGTTTTTTGGAGTCTGAGTGTCCAACACCAGAAAAATCAGAAGATCCTGACAGTTGAAATGAATATAAAGATTTGTTGCAAGCTTAAACTGTGTACAACAGGCATGTCCAAAGTTCGACCCAGGGGCCAATTGCAGCCCGTTTTCAAATTTTGAGCGGCCCGCAGCCTCTTCTTCCCACCGGCTCAGCCTGTCACTCATCCCTGCTGGCCGGCATTTTTCCCTCCACCGCACAGCGGTTCCCGTGAATGTCAGTCTGAATGGTTGGCCCCCACACATTTTCACCTCACCAAATCTGGCCCTCCTTGCAAAAAGTTTGGACACCCCTGGTCTACAAGAATCGGTGCTACAAACAGCCAAAGCAAACTGGCGGTGGATAAGGGTCAATGGAATTCAAGGTGGTCTGAATTTAAAGCTCTTGTGGGCACCATGGGACTCATGACTGATAATATGTTTGACTCCTCCCTCGGGTTCAGCCAGGTCATTTCCTACTGAGCCATTTCCTTCCCACTGAGACTATGCTAGGGTTTGGCTGTACAAAATTTATACCATGCTTATATGGTACAGATAGAGCCTCCATTTTTTTTCTTTCAAAGTACATAATCTCAAGATCAATCAATCTCATGACCTTTCAATTTTTGTACACAAGACTGTGAACTCACAAGAGTGAAATTTTGCCCCAAACTCTCAAGTTTCATGAATCTTTAGCCCATTTTTAAAATTCTTTCCAACCTAGTGAATGGTTGTAAATATATTTATATCTACCTGCCTGCGTCCATTAGTAGGTTAACTCTCTGAAAACTGACATGAACTATGGTCTGAGGGGAGAATGGAGCACAAGAGAGATTGAAAATGGGCTGAACCTGGTCAAATACTGCAGAGGGAAAAAAAATGAAATTTATTCCTTTATTACATTTCACATTTGATGATGAATTGTGAAAGCTAGCTAATAAAAGAAATATAGTCACGTATATTTCAGTTCTCTGTTTAATACACATAAACGTCTCGGATACATTTTTTTTGGCAGACAGAGTTATATTTAAGTGCTGAAATTACTGCCTATCCTGCCTGACGTCTTGCAGTTTGTTTTGTCTAGTATTATGGAGATCTTCTTCTGTAAAACTTATAAGGGTTTTGTTATCAGTTTTGTGAACTTTTCCCTCGGGTCGCCATAGCAACTCACACAGCTGTTTCCAGATGAGACAATGACTCCACTTATTGGCTATACGGAATACATTTTAAGGAAATTAAATCAAGTTTAATAGCATTTGGACAGAGACAGTAACAATAGCTGTTGAATTGTAATTGTCATCTGGCTGTCTTCTTGACGATAACATGTTTTAATTGGAACAAATGCGCTCACCCAGGATATGAAAAATTCATAGAGTGTGTTATATGTTCAGTCAAGTGTACAACTTTTTCACTCCAGTTTACCTAATATCTGTCTGTCTGTCTCCCTCTCTCCCTCCCTTTCCCTCCATCTTTCTCTCTCATCTCTCTCATCTCTATCTCTATCTATCTCTACCTATCTCTATCTCTCATAACCTCTCTCTGTCCATCTATCTATCTATCTATCTATCTATCTATCTATCTATCTATCTATCTATCTATCTATCTATCTATC